TACAACACAATACAGTAACTCTCTTTCTCTCTTTATCTATATCATGTGTTCAGTTACACTTTTTCATTTAGACACTTAGCACACTAAATCTCTGGTACAGTAGAGTCAGAGATGTCGGAGCACAGCATTTAGCTGATGCACTACACCACAATACAGTAACTGTCTTTCTCTCTTTATCTATATCATATGTGTATTTATACTTTTCGTTTAGACACTCACCACACTAGATCTCGGGAGCAATATGATCGGAGATGTTGGAGCACAACATTTGGGTGATGCATTACAACACAATACCGTACTGTCTTTCTCTCTTTATCTATCTCATGTGTTCACCTACACTTTTTCATCTAGATACTCACCACTCTAAATCTCCAGAAGAACGAAATCGGAGATGTTGGAGCACAACATTTGGCTGATGCATTACAACAGAACACAGTACATGTCTTTCTCTTTTTATCTATCTCATGTGTTTACTTATATTTTTTCATGTAGACACTCACCACAATAGATCTCTGGGATAATGAAATCGGACGTGTTGGAGCACAGCATTTCGCTGATGCATTACAACATAACACAGTAACTGTCTTTCTCTCTTTATCTATATCATGTGTTCAGTTACACTTTTTCATTTAGACACTTACCACACTATATCTCGATAACAATAGAATCGGAGATGTTGGAGTACAGCATTTAGCTGATGCACTACACCACAATACAGTAACTGTTTTTCTCTCTTGATCTATATTGTGTCTTTACTTATAGCTTTTCATCTAGATACTCACCACACTAAATCTTGCGAACAATGAAGTCGGAGATGTTGGAGCACAGCGTTTGGCTGATGCATTACAACAGAACATAGTAACTATCCTTTTCGCTTTATCTATTGCATGTGTTTACTTACACGTTTTCATTTAGACACTCACCACACTAGAGCTGAAGTTCAACGGAATCAGAGATGTTGGAGCACAGCATTTAGCCGATGCATTACAACATAACACAGTAACTCTCTTTCTCTCTTTATCTATATCATGTGTTCAGTTACACTTTTTCATTCAGACACTCACTACACTAGATCTCGGGGGCAATATAATCGGAGCTGAAGTTAAACATGTAATCTCTGGATGTCTTGAACGCAATAAAAGCGGCACATAATCGTGATGATGAATCGAAATATTAGAAATATTCCGATGAGGAACAGAGAGAGGAATGATGATGATGATGATGTTGCGTATATGTTTATTGTGTTTTAATATTCAGAAAAAAATAAATAAAAATGCTATTTTGTAATGTTAGTGCGTATTTGGATTATAAATTTCACTTAAGTTTTTCGGTAAGTGATGAAGAGCTGATATCTTAAAAAAGATAAATATGGTTTTTTCAGGAATATTTTGTCAGTCTGTAGCACGTGCAAAATTAAATTAGTTGTGTATAGCAATAACAAAATTCGAGCGAGTTATTTCCAGTTAGAATGAGTTAGAAAAAGTCTTGTACGGTGTTATAACCTAAGTTATATATAAAGAGGCGTGTTCGATGTTACTGTTAGGTATAACTGATTTTCTTTTTATTCTGCAACAACTTATATCACAACAATAACAAAGAGAGCAAAAACGAAAGAAATAACGAAAGTAGAAAATAGATGTCACGATTATATTGGCCATAACATACGGTAATTGCATATGTCTGAAAGATCGTTGCGGATGATCTTGAATGAAAAAAGATTCCTTTTGATAATACTGAAACCCTAAGAAGTTCTTTTTTGATGGATCGTGAAGCAGAATTCTATCCGATGTTGCTGAACTGTTAAATGAGTAGTGTCGAATAGTTTTGTGGAAAAATGTCTCTATTTGATAGTACTCACCTTTAAAAGATTCTGTATTGAATGCTGCTGAACTGTATATGATTGTTCTAGTTTTATAGAATTCCTCATGATTTTTTTGGATGAATAGCTGCATTATCAAGAATTTATCCATGGAATAAAAGCTTCACTATGGAACTGTGTTATAAGAAGGAAAACTCTTTTTCAAAATAGCTTTATTTATGTTTAAAAGCACTATCGCGTTTAGTTATCCTTTTTTATGCTTAACTAAATAATATTGTTTTACTTTAGGCGTATCAAAATTAGTAACGCTGGCCGTATAATACTTTATAGAAAGCTCAAGGAACTTTTCTGTCTGTATATACTGATAGCCCAAGTGCTACTCTATAAATCCACTCTATTTCATCACTGTTCTATTGATATCATAATATTGAGAACACATGAGAAGAAGTGACCACTCGAAGAAAAAAATAATTTCACGAGGTGTCTCAAAATACTTGCAACATTTTTTATCGCGTGGACATCTTGGTTTAAGCACATGATAAAATATTCATTTTCTTCTATAAAAATGCGCTATAAAAAGCTCTACAAAATCTGTTTTGGAAAATTCCTATTGGCTTGTTCTAGTGGTCTATTCTATACTTTAAATAAAAAGTCTACGCAATAGAGAGCGCTATTTTCCACCTTATTCAGGTCAATAAAAATATTTGAAAGGTTTTGTATACTGTGTTGAGGATCTGTTTATGCAGATTTTGCAGATCTGTCGATACGGAATCTTTTAAAAAAAGAATCGGAATGTTATTGTTTTCTCAAGCTGAAATATATGTATATTTATCAATGATTTATTTTCTAAGAAAATAAAATAGTATTACAATCTAAATGCTTTCCAAATAATGATTTATTTATTTTTATACAAAAATAAAAACTTGTTAACTTTTTGTCACTTGTGATAGAATTGGAAGAAAAAATTTCGGTGCAAGTTTAAGAGTAAGTAAATAAGGTTCATTATCTTCATATTCAATATCTTCTGTAAATATTTGACGACGAAATGGATCGAGAAAAAGTTTTCGTACAGGATAATTAACATATCGTCCCATACTAAGTTCACCTGGTTCAAATCGATGTTCATACGGTACAAAAATTGCTAGAAAAGAATAATAAAACTGATATATAGTTTATAATATTTCATTAATTTACGATTTCGTTTAACCGGTCGATGAAAAATTGTATGTGATTCACCCAGACGTCCGAGTGCTGATTGTCTTTAAAATAAAATAAGAAAATGATTTACTTCATATATTATAGTATATCAATAATCGATGCTTACTTATTAATTGTTGGTAGAACAAGAACTGTTTTACTATCAAGTGATTCTTGTGCTTTATTTTGTTCATTTATTTGATCTTGTGTCATTTCAACAAAATAATTAATTATTTCAATGGATGATATATTTGATGTATTTAAACGTGGTAATGTATTTAATGTTACTGTTAATTTTTTACCTTTAACAGTTGATTTTTTCTTAAGAAATTAAAATTATATAATTATATATATTTAAAGATCAAATAAGAAAAAATTTACTGATAGAGACGTATCACCAGTTAAAGCTCTTGATGTTGCATTACTTATTTTAACTTTTACATCACCATTCTTCAATCGAGAATGCATTTCTCCAATATGTGTACGAAATGCTTGTGCCCATCTATTTCAATAGAACAAAAAACATTAGTTTTCGTGTAAAAAATTACACTATATATTTAAGCAATTAAGCGTTATAGAGATACAGTAATGTAAGATGCATTAGGAACACGTTTTTCAATCATAAGTTGATACGTCAAACGTCAATTATTACTTAAAAGATTTTCTCACCAAATCTGTTGCTATATATTTATCAATTACTCAGGTGATTAAATGAACTGTAAAAGATATATCTCTTTTTACGAGAAATAAAAACAGACGATAACAAATAAATCGAACTAAAAGATTGACTTCTTGATTACACGAATCAGAGAAAGAGAAAATGATCGCGTTATAGAAATCATTTTGAACATTCACCCCTTCGTCGAAACAACATTCCTTCAGGTCAAAAGCAACGGCAACGTAAATGATGTAACAATGGTGAAAACAGTGTGAACAATGGTAGCCGTTTCCGATGGTCGGAATCATTGTCCTGGGTAACTATGGAAAACGATACTGAATCTTTTCTATAGTGAGTTCTTTATTAACTATGTTGATGTAAGTGCCATAAAACTTAAAAAACTAAACGAAGTCTGTTCTGCTTTCAGAAACAATCCAACAATTATCGTCATCATCAACAGAATATATTATGGTTATTGAAAAATCCAAAACGTATTGTATATTTTTATGATGACCATAATGAGCATAGTCCCATGTATCTCATAAATGCGCAGATCATAAGTGATTAAACGGTAAACAAATTTCATTAATAAATATAACAACTATTAGTTAGGTTCTATGATTGGCGTCGTGCTTATTTATGAACGATCTCTATTTCCTACTGTTATGTTGGACCCATGTACACTAGTTAAATTATATACCAGACTATTTAATAATCAAGGAAAAAATTCTTCTAAAATTCGAATCGATACACAATATTCCATAACACAAATAACTTTGTAGTACTGGTTTAATCAAACAATTTTAGTTAATATCTTTATTATTTGATAAACATACCGTCGAAGCCATTCATGTGCAAGTGTTTTAATTCCTGATCGTCGTGATTGTGTTAAATCAAGTTCCCATAATTTCCATGAGTCCATTTCATTATAAAAATGATTAAATGAATCTTGTAGACCACATTGTTCAAATAAATCTTTAATAAATGGTCTAATATAAAAAATACATATTAATAATTAAAAATATTCTATTTTAAATTCTTTACTGAAGACGATCTCCACCTTCTAAATACCAATAAATAAATTCCCCAACAACGTCTATTGACATTTTTTTAAGAAGTACTAATAAACGAAGATAAGTTGAAATAAACTCAATATCATGTGTATCATAATAAAGTGGATTAAATTTTGTTAATTGTGTTAAAATTTTATCAATTAATGAATCTCGTGTTTGATCATTAACTGAACTCGAACGATAAAGATCTTCAAGTTCATGTAAAACTGCAAGTCTGTCTTCGACTGATATAATCATATCTAAGCGTTGTAATACATGAGTAGGAAATAAATCTTCATCACAAGTTTCAAGAAAAATCTATATAAAAAAAGAAAGAAAAGGAATTGTATGCATAATTGCTATTCAAATTCAAAACAAAAAGAACATACATCAACTTTAATCAATGGATATTGTTCAGCAAACCAATTCAATTCAACAAGTTTATCAATAAAATATAAAAATGCTGGTGAAAATTCACGTGGAGTTTTACTACGAAATTCAACTGTTTGAGTTGAATCATTAACAAATGATGTTGATTCATTAATAACTGAAGCTGGTTCATCAACATATGGTGTTAATGGTTTTACAGGTGTTCGAATTGATTTTGTTGTTGAACCTGGTGTATGAATTGATCTCGTTGGTGAACCCGGTGTTTGAGGTAGTTTTGCAGGTGAAACAGGTGGTAAACTAGGTGAACGTCGTATTGAAGTTTGTCGAGCTAATTTATTAGATGGTCCTATTGGACCTATAGCTTTTGCAACTTCCTTATAAAAAGAAGCGATAATAAACGAAAGTTCAAAAAGTAAAAAGTTTACTTGACGTTTAGATTTAGTTTTCACAGGTTCTTCCTCCGAAGGTATTGGTTGTGGTGGTTCAGCAGTTTGTTGTGCAATACCAGTTAGTTGTTTCATTAAATCGCTTGGATCTTTTTGTTTTTCTGAACGATCAGTCATATCATCATCATCCACACCAAGTCTCTTTTTCGTCATTGATGCCATTAATTCTCTCCATTCAGCTTCTTCATCCTAAATAAAAAATATCTAATAGATGTAACTCTTTCAATTTATCATTATATCACTTACGACTGGTTGAGTTTCTTCTATTGCTTGTAGTTGTTGATCGGACAAAGTGGGTGGTGTCCATTCTTCGACATCTTGTTTTCTTGGTGGTAATGGATCTGGCCAAAGTAATTTCGCCTAAGTAAATTAGTAAAGAATTTGATTGAAGTTGAATAGAAATAATTATTCTATCACTTACCAATACAGAATTAGGAATCATTGTACCAGAACCATAATGAGGACGTTCAGAAGGTAAAGTAAGTTTTTGAAGATTACTTTCAAGTAATTTTTTAGCTTCATTTTGTTCTTGTTGTTGTTTAAGAGAATGAATATCATCATTTGGTAAGGTTGATTGAAAACGATAATGTTGTTGAAGTTGAAATAATTGTTGTCCCCGATCGTCGTAAAGCTTCGATAGAGGATCTGAATTTGCTTCTTTTAACGAACGAAAAAATCCATTATCACCATCAATCGTATATGGATCGGGTGCTAAATCAAATATTAATATCATAATGATATATTCTAACAAAAAATTCCTATCTTACGCGTTGGAGATGGACCAAATAATTCTTGTTCTGTCACTTTATACATATCATCATCTAACAACTAAAAATACAACAGATAAGAAGACAATTTTTTATTAAAAATTCAAACTTACGCCTTTTTTTGGTTCTTTCAGATACATTTTCATATATTCATCAAATGCTTGTTTTCGAACTTTTGATGAGATTTTATATTTTTTAGTTCGATGAAGTTTTCCTTCAGCAATTTGAGCAATTTCCAAATCTCGTTTTTCCAATTTTTCTAATTCCTTTAAAATAAATAACAATATTTCATCTTTATCTTTATATATTTCATATTACTTGATTTTTTATTTTAACTTGTTCTGCTAATTTTATATGAAAATCAGCAGCATCTACCATTTCACGATTACTATTCAATGCTCTAATTAAAATATTTTCAAATGAAAAAAAATTCAAACATAAATTAAATTTTCTACAAACATTTGATCCGCTTTATGAGCTTTTTTTAAACGAATAACATTCTCGGATGACATACGAATTAATTCTGTATTATTGATTTCTTCACTTGCTTTATTTTCTGGTATTGTTGGTGTAAATTGCATTGATATAGTTTTAAATACAATAACTTTTGGTAAATCTTTAATTTAGAAAATCTAAATATATATATATTTCTAGGTTTTCCATTAAACTTACATGATAAATGTGACATTGCATATAGATGATCACCTATACCAATAATTAAATCTCCTGAATCATTTATAAAATGTAATGAATGAATATTATCATGAATAACAATCATTCTTGAAAAAAAAGAAAATAAATAATTTAAAACAAAAAATAAATATTTTAAACCTAATTAATTGATTTTCTCCATTCCAAATTCTTAATGTACCATCAAGACTACCAGTTGCAATTAATTTTAATTTCGAACAACCAGATATAGCTGTTACTTTATCACAATGATCATTATCTGGTGGATGATCAAATCGTTCTATAAAATTTTCAAATAATAAACTCATTAAAAAAAATTTAATTTTACCATTATTATCTAAATTATAAAGCATTAATGAATGTGTCATTGTTGGTTCATCTCGAAAAGCAACAGCAAGTGAATTTTTCATTATAGTTAAATGAATAGGTGGTAAAGCACAAAAAATTGAACGAGTAACTGCTAATGATTCAACAGCATAAGGAAATACTCGCCAAATTCGAATAATTAAATCTAAAATAATTTCATAATAGATTAAAACTAAACAAAAAAAATTACAAATTCCTACCAACACCACATGTTATAATCTGATCCGCACTTGAATTAGCAATAATATCAACAACTGGACGAGTAGAATGCATCTATATAAAACAATTTCATATTTAACATACATTTTAAAGATTAAGAATTGACTCGTAAAAAACTTTTTCAAGTATACATACATCTAATGAAAAATCAATTTCTCCAGTATCCCATTTCAACACAGCAATATGACCATTACTTAATCCAGCAATTAATAATGTTCGACTAAAACCTTTTAATCCATTATTTATTATTTCACTACTTGGTTTTGTTACTAATGCTTTAAGAGCTGGTGTTTCTTCCATACTATTCTGTGCTATATATTCATATATTACCAAACAATTAATTGTATCTAAATAAACAGAAATAGAATTTTCAAAAAAGAAACTTATTTTCAAAAACTAACAATCAGTTATATCAAATTGTTGAATAATTTTGCATGGATTCAATGATGTATCTGCTTTTAAAATTGTAGTACCATTACTAACAAATAGTGTATCTATGAGAATGAATGATTTTTATTGATTAAAAATGAATAGGTAAAATAATTAATTATACTTTGAGCAATTGCATAAGCACATGATGTAATTATAAAATTTAAATCACAAACAAGACTTGTTAAAACATCACCAGTAGTACATGCAACTATTCGTACAGTTGAATCTTTACATAGAAGAACTGAACGAATTGGATAATTTGGATGTGATGTACATAATATTTTTGAAATAGGTGATCTAAAGAAAATATATATTTCATTTTATTAATTCTTTCGTTCGTTTCAACAAACCCGATAAAAGTCAAAAAGTCACAATAATGTTTAACACACCATAATTGTAAACATTTCGCTGATTTAACAATAAATTTTTCATAATTAACTGCTATATCCATATGTGATATCGGTTCAGGCACATGTATACTAAATAATAACATATTTATTTGAATATAATATTTATTAACTTACATATCAACAACATCACCATATTCAAAACTCCAAACTCGAATTGTTCGATCTTGACTACTTGAAATAAGATAAGGTCCAAATGGATGTTTACTTAAATATAATATTCGATCTTGATGACCAACATAAGCATATAAAATAAACCATCGATTATCCCAAACTTTAACTAAAAAATATAATATAAATTTTTAAAAATGAATTAAAATTATTATTTTTAACAAACTTGATCCATCTCGACCAGCTGTCACAAGTACATCACGTTGATCAATAAATGTCATTGCTACAATTGGTCGAACATGTAAATCTTGTTTAGTAAAAAAATGTCGTCCTTCATTAGCTATATTGAAAGTCTATTATATCAAAAAAAAAAAATATTTCTTTAAAGAATATCAATCATATATGTAAATACCAAAACATCATAGCCTGCTGTAATAAATAATCGTTGAATAGAACCATCTGTTTGTTCAGCAGCTAATATATTATATTCTAGATCTGGTGAGATACCTTCTCGACAATCAAATTTCGGTACAATATATCTTCGATTAAAACGAAATTGCCAAACCTTTATTAAACAACAACTGATTTCAATTAATAACCTCAATATTAATGTAAATTCTACATACAGTAGCACCTCCTTTTCCACAAGTAAATACATCTGATGTTGTTTCATTGTAATTTAAATCAAATATATTATAATCACAAGTTGATGTTGATAAAATTTCCAGATCCGCACTTAACATATGAACTTCTTTACGTCCATTTGACCAAGCAATAAACTCATCTTCATTTACACAATAAAATAATCGATTAAATTTTATATCAAGTTTTAATTTTTTATACGCTCGACCATCAGAATGATATACATGAGCAATTTGATCATGATCTATACTAACAATTTCCTATGCAAAATGAAAAAATAACAGTATTTGTAAACAAATGAAAGATATTTCAATTACTTTTCGTTTACTATTGAATGAAATACATTTAACTGGAATATCATGATTTATATTTCGTATGAAATGTAAACCATGTGATCGTTCTATGTCTAAATATATATTTGAAATTTATAAAACTTCTCTAGATATATATAGAAAATTATCAGCAAAAGTATATTTTATTTCTATGTTGAAGACTCAATTTTTCACCCTATGATCTCTCATATTCGAGAGCTTTTCAGATACAATAAATATTTGTTTTTAATCATAGTAGATAAATAAAAATAATGATTTTGGTTTGTGTAATATTATCTCAAATATGGAATTTAATTGAAAACTTTATACTGAAGTTATTCGTATATATGTTGACTTTCTTTACCCGTATCATCTGCACGTGCAACAGCATCAATTGTTCGGCGTATCGAACATCGTAATAATCTCCATAAATAGTGAATTCGATTTTCACCACATTTTATCGGTGCAATTGTTAATTTCGTTCTTTTTGCACTATAACTTGATTGAGCTCGAGAAGCAATCGGTGTTATATCATCAACAACTGTTGTTGAATCTTCCTGAATCTCATTATTATCCTTAATCGTCATGTGTCTTTTCTTGTTATTCTATTTAATAAAATAATTCAACTTTTATTTTTATTTCTTCTTGTCTTCTTTCCTCACCAATCGCGGCAAAATTGCCACCATTTACATTCAACATTTATAACTATTGCTAAGCAGCAAACAATATTAGAAGAGAAAAAAAATACATTGCACACAACACACACAAAGAAAAAAAACTATATTTGACATGTACAAAATAATAATTAGGTTCGACCATTTTTATCTGATTTATCAAATTGTTGCCAACGATATTTTTTATCTGTTGTACTTGTTACAATATCTGGTTTAAAATTTATATTCTAAATAATAAGAATAATTAAAAAATATAATATATATAGGTTAAAACAAACTTGTATAAATGCTTCTTTCTGTCTACTCTTAGGTTTCAATACTGAAGCTATCATTTTTTGTAATAATTGAGCACCTATAATAAAGGAAATGCATATTAAAAAACGTTTTGAATTACGAAATTCAAACCTTTTTCTTCATCATAATCTTCTTCATCTTCATCGCCATCATTCTGTTCAGTTCGATTCTAGAATAAAGATCTGCAATGAATATAAATATGTGATATGTATAACTTACTGGAATAGGGTCTTGTTCATTATCTTTATTATATTCTTTTCTTGCAGCAGCTAATTTATGGATACGTTTTAATCTTTGTTGTACATCATCATTTATTGATAGATTTTCATTATTACGATTACTTGATATTGATCGTAAAGAAATAGCACTAAGAGCACTATTAATCGATGATGTTTCATCAGCTTCTTCACATTGAAAAACTTTTACTTCATCTGATATTGGTTCAATATTTTCATACATATTAAATGTACGAAATAGATCATTCATTTTCATAATATCATTTGGAGCTATAAAGAAAATATAAACATTATTATTTCAATTTTCTTTTATAAAAAAATCAGAAAAAAAAACAACCTCTAGTTTGATTTGAATCGTTGGCCATTAGTTGAAGACAACTTTTGATATATGCGTATGTCTGAAATGCAATCGGACAAATGTATGGATAAAAACAATGAATCGAAATGAATAGGACAACCGTTACATGCCCTCTGTATATTGTTCTCTTTCATCTTTTTTTTTTCTGTTCTATATATATATTCGCAGCTTGACGGCGGCGGCCGTGGCGGTTGAAAAAAGAAGTGACCAGCATTGTTTTCCCTTTCCTGCTAGGTAAAGTAACAGTTCATGATTATAAAAAAAAACATTGATGTCACACTTGTGAATATTATTGAGATATTTAAAAAAAAATGATTCTATATTGCTAGTTATTAGAACTGTGATTGACGAATATATTCGTCAAAGCAGTATTTATGGCAAAAACGAAGACTATATACAATTTTTAGATCCTATTTTTTTCGTGTAGTCTAGGTAAAATCTAACGCTCTGCACTAAATGGAACTCATTAGATCATTTCTGATGTTTCTCATCGATTGTGTCGATTTTACAGCTATCTGTATATAGTGTAAATTCCAAGGGGGGAGAATCTGATTTAAATTATCTGAAAATCAAAATTAAATCACAAATCGCTTTTCCCCCTTGGTAAATTCTCGATCTAATGAATTCCCGAATACTGTTTGTCATTGTTCCAAAAACATTGTTGCAAATTTAAGTTTTTTCGTACTTACTTTACGACAACGACTTATGTCTTCTACATAAAGTGATAAGGCATATTTGTTTACAAATTTTTTGTGTTTTAAAGATATTTCAATATCTAACAGGTTCTTTTGCAAAAATTTCACAGTTAAGGGGTTAATATAATACTGATGTATTGCTATAGTATTCATGTATCATAATTTTGTTCATGAGTAACTGAAAATTTGTCATCATATAAGAAAATAATTGTAGAAATATCTCGAATGAGGTTTTGATACCTTCCTATACTATATCTTTCGTAGAAGATTTTCCTTTAAAAATATAAATAATCTCACACGCTAATGTTCTGTACGATAGAAAAAAATTATTGTATAATTATATCTAATCAAAGTTATATTATTTACAGGAGGTTTTCATTAACAATATACAAAGCTGAAAAACTATAGATAAGATTCAATAACAAATGACACTGTTGAACAATTACGATTGCTACGTCGGTAAATATTTCAATATTAAATATGAATATTGTATTTGGAAGTGTATGTTTTATTCTTTAATATATCAATTGTAATTCTTATGATAGATAAAGCAAATTTAATGAATCATAATCATCTTATTGAATTCTACATACACACATAAAACTACGCAAAAAAAACACATGAATCAACAATCTAATAAACAAAACAAAGACAGATTGATTGAGAAACAAATAGCTAACAAAAACTAGAGTAACATTCACACACGTCACCGGACGCGTAGTTTTCAATAGAAGAGATAAAAAGAAAAACAAAAAACGACTAGTGAAGTGCATTAACAACAACAGTAACAATTATTTTCAACTGTTTCTATCACAAACATTTTCTTAGTTATCTATTTACAAACTACCGGAATAAGAAAACAAAACAAAAAAAATATATATTTATAAGAATGTCATATATGGACGGATGAAACAAAACAAAAATATCTCATCACAAATGCTTTTTTCTTTGTTGAGATTATCGAAAAAACAAACAACTTATTCATTGCATTCATTTTCTTTGTTATTTTCACTTGATAAAATGGATTTTTTCTTAAATAAAATCATTTCTTGTTCATCAGATTCAGGTATATCGAATAAATCATTATTTATTGTTGAACAAAATACATTATCATTCTACAACAAAAATTAATTTATTTATTTATTTGATAAAATTAAAATTACTTTTTCATAACATTGATTGAATTCATCTTGATGACGAGCAACAAATGGAATTTTATTGTTCGTAGAATTTGTTGACCAATATAACCAATACCAAAGTACAGTTCGAATTTTTCGTGTTGTTATACGTAAAATACGTAATGATTCAGCTAATTGTAACACATCTAAATGTTTTTAAAGAAAGAATACTTTATTTGAAGAAAAAAAAACTAAATAAGAACCATTCTCATCAGGTAAACGAGGTTCACCCGTACGACATTTTTCAGTTGCATTATCAATTTCTTGTCGACGTCGATCTTGAACTGTATTAATAGCATTAAGCCATTCATCAAGTGTTTGTCCTGTTGCTTCAATATCTGGTATATTTAAATTTTCTGTAATTCGTTCATGTAAACGAATAATCTATGAACAAAAAAAATAGATTTGATTTATTGAAATTAAAAGATAATACGATTATTTTACTCGATTATATTCATAATGATATTCAGCTATTAAACGATCAACACGCGATGGATTATTTGAAAGATTTAGAAAATTTGTATTTTTCATATCAATTATTGATGATGATGATGAAGATTTATGTAAAACTTCAATACCAATTTTGGATTCAGTCTAAATAAACAAGTCACATCAATATTTAATTTCTAGTAATATACAATCTTACTTCTGCATAACTATCTCGTATATAATTAAGTTGTTCATAACATTTTTCAATCGCAATATCTAAATAAATGAAGAACTTTTGAAGAATTTTAATTAAAAAATTTATTTACTTACGTAATGTATTTGCCACACCAGTTCGTCTAAAATATAGAATTAAAGTTTTAATGAAGAAATAAATATTAGAAAAAAGCGAGTGAGTTTAATATAGGCAAGAAAATCAAGGTTTAACTATGTGCGAAAGTTAGACAAAGATATGAAGTACCTGTTAGATCGAAAATAGCTAAATAAAATATTATACTAAAAATATTTCTGAAATAAAATCCATAATTTCTTTACCTCATCTCTTGACATGTTGTTAAGCTCATATCATTCATAGACATTGTATCATCTAAAATAGAACATTCTATATAAATTTAAAATAAAATAAAAAACATATACGAGATGAATGTTGTCGAGGATACATTTGTTGTGTATCTTGTGACCATTGTTGATTTAATTTTTTATTTTCTTGTTGTTTAAATGCATTGATTAAACGAATATTTGATGTAGGTAATGATGATGATGAACTTGATGATGATAATGATTGCTGATTGAGATTATTATTATTACGATTCTTTCGATCATGTAATGCTGTTAAACCTGTACTACGTTGTAAACCAATCATCTGACGAAATTGTTGTAATGTAACACTTTTTACAAGAGAATTCAAACCATTATGGTCACCTTTACGAATCAGAACTTGAATATCTTTTGGAGGTTTATATTGACTTGAATATATATCTGAATAGGAGAAAAGAACGATTAGAAGAGAAATAAATAAAAATTTTACCTGGAATATTACGTGGATAACCACTTTCAGACAATGATGATGAATTCATTTTCATTTGTCGTGATGGAATACTAAAGAAAAAGATTTTAATCTTCATCTGATAATTACTTTAAAAATATGAAGGTATTGCTAACGAGGAAATATTAAGATAGAGACTTTATCAACTTTGTATCTAACGCAATGAAATCTTATAACAATTCAACCTTCCTAAATACGAATTTTATCGGTATTTCTTTACTTTCTCATTTGTTGTATATAATGCATATGTTGATCTGATTGTCCACCATTCATCCATACTGTTTGTTGTTGAACAAATGTAGGTGTCATTCCATGTTGTTGTTGATATTCACTATTTTCATCAACAATACTCGATACCATTTGATTAAGATTAGCCGATCTAAATTCATTATCGAATTTTTAATTAACATTTTTAAAATATTTCATACCTCATTTCATTTGGAAAATGTACACTACTATTAAGAAATTTATCTCCATGTGTACTTGATGATAAATTATAATGATCCATATGTCCACTTTCATCTAAATTCCATGTTGGATTTTGACGTAAATAAGTACGTAAAAATCGATCATCAATCTAAATAATAATCAATTTGAAACAAAATTTCAATTAATGCTATTCTACCATTGTCGATGAAGATGTTTGTAATGGTGGTGATAACATCTTTCAATCTAAAAATATGACAATATAAACTAATTTTTCTTTCTTTCTTTCATTTTGAATATTAAAATAGGTAAGAAAAAAAAAAAAGAAGAGAATTCGTGTAATGTATCCATAACAAACATAAACCATTGAAAACTAACAGACAATTAATTGATTTAAAAAAATAAAAGAACTCATTTATATCCAATAAATATTTAATTATAAATAACTTTTATGTTCAATTTTAAGATTTTAATAAACAAAACTGATTTTAATATTAAAATAAATTTTTGAAAAATTCTAAATTTATTATCATATGTAATACAAGTGACATCTACTCATATTTTTCTATTGGTTATGTTACGTATACGTCGTCAATTGTTGATGAAAAATATTTTACACTAGTTTTTTAAAAGAAAATGTATGTTCCAATGTCACCTCCGCCAGTATTTACATCAAATAATAATAATAGTTCAACATCAGTAAATGTTGGAGATAATTCATCATCAAATTCAATGTTTGATCGATATAGTGCAGCAGCAAAACGTTATAAATATCTTCGACGTTTATTAAAATTTCGTCAAATGGATTTTGAATTTGCTATATGGCAAATAATACATTTATTTATAGCACCACAAAAAGTTTTTCGTGCATTTCAATATCGAAAACGTATGAAAATATAAATAGAAAACGAATTTTTCATTTTTCCTTTTTTTTAAAGAAACAAAAAATCAATGGGCAAGAGATGATCCAGCATTTTTAGTACTCTTAATGGTATTTCTTGTTGGTATGAATATTCTTTTTTCTTATGACAAGTTCATATATATATTATTCTTTAGCTTCATCGATTATTATTGGACTTGTTCTTGGAATAGGATTTTTTGGTACTTGCAAACTTGTTTTATGGGTTGTTTTAGTCGATTGTGTTCTTGTCGGACTTCTGATATCAACTATTTATTGGTTTGTTGATTTTTAATTTGAATTCAATATATTAAATTTTCATTGTAGGTATGTTGCTAATCGATATTTACTTGCAAATCCAAAATCTAATATCGATGTTGAATGGGCATATTGTTTTGATGTTCATCTCAATGCTGTTTTACCTTTACTTACGATTTTACATATCGGACAATTACCTTTTTTAAACTGTAAATTTATTTTAATAATTAGAAATATATATATTTTTTCTCTTTCTCTCTAGCATTTGCTGTTAGCACAAGTTATCTCTATTGTCTTATTGGTAATACTGTTTGGTTTATTGCATGTGGTTATTATGTTTATATATTATTTCTTGGCTTTAGTGGTATGAAAAAATTAAATTCCTAATAAATATAAAAATTTGAATATATTTTTTTATTCTAGCACTTCCATTTCTACGCAATGTTCATGTACTATTGTATCCATTAACAGCTCTTTTTCTCGTTTATATTCTATCGATTATTGTTCAATGGAATTTTACTCAAATGATTGTCACATTCTATGAATATCGTGTTGGTCATAAACGATTACCATAATAAAACGTTCTAATGTATAGAATTTTTCTTCTGTTTTTTGTCTCTTTGCTACATATGTTATTTATCATATCTTACAGATTTTTTTCTTCTTCTTTGTTTTTTCATTTTAAACGAAAAGATAAATGTTGATCTTGAACTATAATCAAGAAGAACAAATTAATTGCAACTATTTTTTTAGATTTCATTGTTTGCTATCTATCATCGTTTGAAATAATAAATGCAGTGTAAATATTCGAAAAGTTTTCTACGAATCTACTTAAAGATATATTTTGAAAAACGTTGTAACGTGGTTCTATGGTGTAGCGGTTAGCACTTTGGACTTTGAATCCAGCGACCCCAGTTCAAATCTGGGTAGAACCTGTTTCTTTTTTTGCTATTTTTCCTTTCTTTCTCGTCATATGAGTCAGTATAGACAGAACGGTAAAAATCGCAAGGCTATTGTTATATATCTATAGCAATAGAAATAGTAAACAAGAAATAGTAGTTTCTTTGCTTCGTCCAATCTTGTATTGTGAGAATTTTGAAAATTATCGATTTATTTTTCTTTTTAAGTTTTATCTTTCCTGTTCGAATCTTGATTGCAAGAATGGATGATCGTTTTATTATATACGATCTATCCATCTAGAATATCGAACAAGATTTACAATAACGAATAAAGCCATGTGGCGTATAGCAAATAGTGTTTATCGTGCTTTTCGAAATACAGCTACTCATCGTTGTTCACAAGATGTTCTCGGTCCATTAACTACTATACATAATACAGATGATGATGATTCAGATTTAAAAAAGTATGGAAAATTTATTATTTAATAAATTCCTTTTTTTTGCTTTTTTTAGGAAAGAAAAATGTACAATCACGAAAAAAAGCAATATCTGTGAAGTTTTGAAAAATAATCAATTTTCATATGAAAATATTGAAAAAATACAAGAAGATTTAAAGAAAATTTCTTTCAAACAAGTTTTAACAAAAAAAACAAATGTTGTTAAATCTATTGAAACTCAAAAATCGAACTGTATTGATAAAGAAGTTTCATCAACTACTTCTTCAAATAAAACAGAAGAAACTCTTGATTCATTACTACAAGCTGATAAAACTTATATGAATACTCTAAAAGATCTATCTGATTTACATGAAGAAACAATGTCTATTATCAATCTTGAAATAGCTCTCGATGCTATTGAATCTGGTAATTATCAATTAGGTATTGAAGCATTAGAAAATAGTGCAAAAAATAAAACAAATGCAGCAGCATTATATAATCTTGGTATTTGTTATGAACAAGGTATTGGTGTTGAACAAGATCGTGCTAAAGTATATTATTTATTTTTTGTTTGAAATTTCAGAAAACATAAAATTTTTTATTTAGGCATGTGATTATTATCGTCTAGCATCTGCTTTAGGTCATACGAATGCTCAATTTCATTTAACAAATCTTTCAAATCATATTGATATTAATGATAATGAAGATGAAATAAGTGAACGAACAATAAGTGAAAATAATAATTCATTATTACGTAAAGTTTTTCTTCAATTTTCATTATCAATGAATTATAAAGATGAGCCGTCATTCAACAATTATCAATTTGAGTCAGAAAATAAAACCATTGCATGTTTATAATAGACATGTAGTTTCTTGTTTCTATGCAGTGAAGTCTAACATTAAAAGATACAATTAAAAAAAGTTCTTTTAAATGTTTGTTTATATTTAATCTTTTGATATGATTAACAAAAAACAAAAAATATAAATTTTATTTTTTTTTCTAGATAAATTTTTATTTTTCAAAATATTAATATGAGTAATCTTAGTACAAAGTAAGAAATTGATTAATTTCATTAGTTTGTTTTTTTTGATAATTGATTTTTAGAGCTCTTCGTGTAACTGTACCACATGCTTTACGATCAAAATTAACTGTTGGTGGTCAATCAGAACGACATGAAAAAATCAAATCTATTTTAGGAGAATTATTTCGACATGAAAGGTAATATGAATGTTCCTGTCTATAAATTTAAACATATATATGAATCCAAGGGAGAAAAAGTAATTTGTGATTTAGTTTTGATTTTTAGATGATTTAAATCATAAAAACTGATTTCTTTATATGATTTAGCGTGATTTATTTATGATTTTTAGTAAATTTAAATTAGCCTTTGTTTCTTGCGATAGACTCTTCTAACCACATACCCCAGACTTCCCAAATGTTTTGTGATCATTGAATAAAGATGACAATAGACCCTTCAAACCATATACCCCGGACCTTCCAAATGTTTCGTGATCATTCTTGTTCATATCGTTCAATCGTTTTATTAAAGTTTCTCTATATATTTTTCTCCTAATATTGGAAGATGAAAGACTTCCTGAAGATCGTTCGTTGAGCATTGAAACAGATCATATGTAATTCATAGACATCTCCGATAAAAACCATTAATTTTGTGTATAAAAATAAATATTATATAGAAAAGTTAAGAAAACGAACTTCTTTTTTTATTTAATCAGAATAGAAGGATACATTCGTACACATGATGAAACAAGACAATATGCAGAACGTTTGATTGAATTAGCGAAAAAATATGGTGATCGGTAAGATTGATATCGTTTCAAATATTTCTATTTTTAATTGATTTGCTTTTTAAGACATGTTGGCACAATGCAACTTATGGTAAGAAAAACGTGCATTTATTTTTTGAAAGTAATTTATTTCTATTATCTTAATATTTAGGACTATTGGATTGCTGATAAAGATTTAATTCATAAAGTATTTAAAGTATTTGTACCTCGATATGCTAATACACTTGGTCCATATACAAATGTATATTCTTTTTTTTTTAAATTTATAAATATTAAATTTGAGTTTTGTTCTTTTTTAGGCTCATCGTCTACCGATTGAATATGGTAAACATGAACATATTTTTAAACAACGTCAAAATATTGTTCTTGAAATGAAAAATAATCCATATCCACGTATAATACCTGATCCAAGAAATTATTCAAACATTTTAACAAATGTACTTCTTAATGAAGCTCGAAAAGAGTATCGAAATGAAAAAAAACTATCTGAAAAAACAGATATTTAGATTTATTAACGTTATTTCTTTTTCTAGTACTTTGTACTTTGTTTTCAAATGATAAACATAGTTTAGAATAACACAAAAAGTTTGATGAATGTTTCATAAATAAATGAATGAAATCATCATTTGAGAAATCTTTTACAATAACTTGTTTTATGAAAGAACAGCTAGATAGTTTATGCAAGTCATTGACGAGATTCTACGTCTTTAACATGCAGTAAATCGCCGATAATGGATTGGACCTACATACACTGTAAAACGTATTTTTTGTATTACGCATTCAAAATAAAGAAAGATAGTCATTCTGATAATATTCTTTTTTATCAAATCGGATATGTTAATAGCATATTTAAATCACAACATTGATGCAAAATTAGAATAATCACCATATAAAACTATATACTACCAATAAAATGCCAGGGTTAAATATCAAGGATTTTATTCTCTCTGTTACATATTAATTAAGACTTATTAGCATGTGTATAAATTTATTTTTTTTGTAGTTTACTACTATCATCATCTTGATTAGTAACGTAATTGTTGATGAGAATGAAAATCTAGTATTTCAAAAACTCCAAATATAAAATAAATAGGATTCATAATGAAATGTCAATAATATTACGAGAATTTTTTATTAGACTAATAGAAGTAGTTACTACATCATCTAATAACTAAAATAGTTCGACTATTTTTGATTTATTAATTGTAATAAATGAAGTTAAGAAGAAAAAAATTGTGATTTATAACGAAAAACTAACAAGAAAAACAAAAGACCGATGAAATGACCTGAATAATAAATTGCCAATTAAATACTTCATTAATAATTATATACAAAACAAGTAAGTTGTTTTTATCTTCTAAAATAGTTCATATCAAATTTTTTGTATATAATGATAATGATTATCGAGATAAGTTAATTTAAATCTTTTACATTAAAAATTGTAAGAAATGATTACGAAAGAATTCTTGTATAAATATAAAATTTCTAATATTGATAAAAATAATCACAAGATTGTTGCGAGAAAATTTGATTATACGCAGAAAATTTCATTCTGTCGTTCTGCACTTACATATTACATCAGCAATTTTCTTTTTATTCACTAATCAGATCGTAGACTACTTACTTGATCAACAGATTGAACGTAAGTTAATTCTTTTAAATAATAAAATTTGATGTATATCGATTATATAAAAGCTTCTATTTTACTAGCGTAATTTATTTTAAATATAGTTTTAACTATATACTTCTCACATCATATGCATAGTTAAATCATGCAGAAAAAAACTAATTTAAACTGTAATATTATACTATTCTATGTCCTCGAATAATCATAATACGTTAATAATTTGTTGTTATCATGTTTATGATTAATTAAAAAGAAAATAAATATCTTGATAAGTTTTTTTCTGAATGTGTATTCAATAATATAAAATAAGAAATTAGTTATTAGAACATGTTTCTAATTCATATGTATTCCCTATAGAAAATACTGCATAATTATATAAGAAAAAGAAATTGATTGCTTATCAAGCTATAGAAAATCTGATCACTTGTCTTCTATCCGAAGTATACTTGAATCATTATAGGAATTTTAGTGAATGTAAAGTGCGATTATATCTTTTTATACTTGTATTTTCTAACAGTGTTGTTAACAAATCGAGTACTCTTCAGAATATTCAACACATGGTATTGAGTACAGACAGATGTTACTATCGATTAGTTGTTCAATATTTCATTTTATTTTCGATCAACATTAGTAAAATCATCAGACTAGAAGAAATATTAAACATTTTTGTATGTTCAAATTGAGCATAAGTGAGTGATCAATTATATATAATGAAAGAGAGAATCACAGTTCAAGAAAACATATTTCGATATGTAGATAGTATAAATAGAATTTCTTGTCTTTCGAAATTTTAAAATATCAATTAAAGATGAGATCATATCTTAAATTATCCATATTATATAATTATGTGATTTATCAATATCAATTTTCTTATCTGCCAATATATCATAAAGAACTGACAGACATGACAAATTCCCATGTAAATGATATATGTCATAAACTAATAATATAATTTAACCTATTTCTACGGATATTAGTCCCACATATTTATTATCTTATAATTTTCAAAACTTGAATAGATTTAAATTTAGATTCTTAATCTAATAATTTGTTATAAGATATTTTCTATCAACAGTATATTATTTTAAGTCAGAAATTAGATTTATACATTTCAAGGTAAAAACAAAAAGAAAGTAATAATTACTTTCTTATCTGATATTACACAATGTGTATAACTATTAACGTAGACATATTGCGGATATAAGAAAGTTGATCTGTGTATAAGAATAAATAAACAATATTGATATACATTTGACCTTGATTGTGTTACATTATGGTTTCACTTAACAATACAGTGCTCACTAAACCTTCATATAATTGTGTTACATGAGCAATATTATTTCTTTTTGAAATATTATATCTTCATATCTACAACGTTCAAAAAAAAAGAAATTATCAATACATTCAGTATTCTACTCCATATTCTCAATTATATTATCTACACTGTCAGGGGATATTATGTTATTGATTTGCCGTACTGATAACAATTACAACAACCAGATATTCGCTTATAAAAGCATGAAAACAACTTCTAATCAACTGATTGGTCAATATTATAGGAAAAGGCTTGAAAGAAATATCGTCGAGCAGAATATATCGTAAGAATGTCACTTATAGACGCTTCTCATCTGCTTGACTAATAGTCATCAATCATATTGGAGATATCTACGTCTGATAAGTTTATTTTGCTAGTCTATTTTCTTCTATCATATACATATATATATATATATATTTTGGCTAATAAAGATCGATATATCAGTATTAGGTGAGATAGTTTTACTCTCTATCATATTTTAAGTTCAAGAACATATCATTTGTAAGTAACATCGTTAATAATAATTTACATTGATATTTTGATAAGAAGTTAGTTGTTATTGTTATTGATACTATCGGAATTGTAAGAAGTGTTATTGTAATTTTGTTCAAATCATTCTTTTATTCTTGTGAGATTAGAAATAGTAATCAAATATTTCTGTTAATCTATTCATTCATATGCATAGCACATTTTCTCATAATATTATATATCCAGTTTCTGATTTCTTCTTGTCATAATCAAATTAGTATATTGTACCGATTAAATATCTCGAGTAGATTTACAAACAGATGTATTTATATTAAAACTTGACCTTTTTTTCTAGTGCTTTATATTATCCTCAGAAGAATTATTTCTTCATATTAACGTTAATCCATACACATAAAGATAAGAAAGATTATCATTGTAAATATCTACATTACATCGTTATTAAACTAATCAATACCTGTAATAAATATTTATATGAAGATAAGAAGTTTTATTATAGTAAAATTTTACTTCCTGTTTATGAATGAACAGGATGTCAAGTAGTATTTAATTTTTAATAATATACTCTATATATTCAAAGTATTGTTTAAATTTTGTAGAAAAAAATTTTTTTTTATGAATTTCTCGTTCAATCTATCTTCGTTTTTTTTTCCTAATGAGATATTTTCAACTATATATATATTAGAAAAACAAGTCTAATGGATCATTGCTAAACATTAATCTTAATTATATTCATGCCTTCAAAACAAATGAATTTGACATTTATAAAGTAAGAGCTAATGCAAAATAAGTTTCCTCGTTTAAGAAAGAAAACAATGTTCTAAATGAGTATTTAAACGATATTTTTGTCAATATAGAATAATTATTCTAAACAACAACAAAGCAAAACCGGATATATTTGCAATTAAATTGTTATTTAATAAGTAATCATTTCAATTGAGTTAAATATCAGTGACCTTACTTTTTAATTCAGTAACATCTGTTTTAGAGTAACATAATGTATATTCTTTCCTACATCAGAAGCTATTCGAGAGAACGACATCATTTTTTATATTGTTGAGCCAAAATGCCAACATACCTCATTTATATATCTTTCATCGCTTTGCTTAAGGTCGTTATAGTATTTCCAAGCGTTATTCTTACATCGACAATTATTCTCTCAGAAAATATATTTATAGAGCCATATGTTTTGCGCCTTCTCCAAACATGAAAAAAAACGAGAGAGACTGCAAGTAAAATATTAATTATTTTTCTTTAGTATTGATACTTCAGAAAGAAATATAAAAAATCTTTACATATATATATATTAATATATTGATAGGATCGATTTTTTTTGTGTATTTGCAGACAATTTAAATTAAACTTATAAATAACTATTGAGAAAAGAAAAAAACTGCTCTACATCATTAAAAGAAAAGTACCTCTTTTTTTAGTGGTTTATTTTTATATAGATTTTATGACGTTTTTTTTCTCTCATCAATAAGGAAACAGCTGAAGTTGTCGAAGTGAACAACTCTTATTCTCGGACAAAATGTATCGCTTTGTAAAAAGGAAGTGCACTCCGATCTTTCGTTAATATTATATTGTATCGATAACCATAATATTTTGTATTATTTAGAAGAAAAATATCATATATATCGTATTCTGTTTATAAATATATATCTGTATAGATTATTATTAAAATAAGATTTATGATAATAAAACTTTTATTCTTAGTTAGAATTACATATTATTATTTTTTCTACATAGATCTGTCGGACTAAAAACAAAAGACAGACAGAGAGAGAGAGAAAGAATGATAAAGACATAAAGAAGTAAGATTTAGTTCTTGAATGAGCGTGCCTTTTTGATCGGAAGGAAACGCAAAAGAAACCGAGAAGAATAAGCATTAGAAAGCATTTTCTTAAAAAGATCAGAATAAGAAACAATCATCAAGCAACATCAACATTCTTCCGTTTCATCGAAGTTAGTTAGTCCGATCAGATATCGACGACGGAGTTCCTATGAACATTTCTAACAAAATGCATAGTGTAGAGTTCGTTGAAGATTAACACATTTTCTCTTTCTTTTTCTTGCATATATCTATCTGTTATATGTCAATCAATTTTGTTTCGTTACTATGCTATTATTATGCACTAGTAGATATCTCTTATTTATAGTTTTTCTTACTAGCGAAGCGAAGAGAGAAAAAAATGATGATGACGATAATGATGATGATGATGATGATGATGGTGACTTTTTCTTTTTCTTTACCAGATTTTACCAATGCTTTTTCTTTCTTATGTTCCAATTTGAGTATACTTTATATTTTCTTAGTCGTTTGCTTTTTTCTCACTTGCTTTCTTGCGTCTTTCAGAGACAAAAGATGAGCAAGCAAGATGTTACCCGCCATCGCTATCAATACAACAGCGAACAGAATTGATAGACACTCAACGACATGCACCCGCACACGCATATTGAAGATTTTTAACTATTAATATCAAAGAGAGGAACATCTCTTAAGTTGTATTTTTTTTGGATCGGGTATGGTTGTGTGAAAAAAAAATTAAATGAATAAACAAATATAATAAAAAAGAAGAAAAAGAAGAAGAAGACGAAGACGAAGAAGAAGCAGAGAAAAAGACGAAAGATAATATAGCTATTATTATTATTATAACGGGTAAGTTGCTTTACGACACGCTTGTATTAGCTATTTGCTACACTGATTAATAACTATAGAAGAAACATTTGTCTGTCAGTCAACAAAAGCATCTGTGTCATCCGACTGTCATTACTGATGTCGAACAAGAATAGACAATGACAAAAAAAAAGAAATAAATGAAATAACAAGAGACATAAAATAAAGAATATATATATATTATATATATATATAATATAATATATATATGTAGACATATGTTATGAGTTGCCCGTCAATTTTTAATCGAAAGAAGATGAGATAGATACATAGTAAGACAGGTGACCCAATATAATATATATATAAGGAAAACTGAAGAACAAAATAATGATTAACTACATAGTGCGAGTAAATGTAATCATGTGTCGTTCTTCTTATCACATACCCGCGACACATTTAAAACCGAGTGAGTGCCCTAGAGAAAATGACAGAAACAGTCAGTGTAAAAGGCGACACGCATATTAACGAAGAAGCATCGTTATTATATGCACCCTATCTATCCTCGTTGACATGCATTGTCGCCTGCTCTGTTTGCTTTAGGACTAATCAGAGTAATCGAGCGCAATACAACTAACGTAACATCTACCATAAATTTCAAGTAACTACAATAATTCTAATAAGATTACTAGTAATAAAACAAATCATTCGTTATTGTTTATTTTTCTATTAGAACAAGCTACATTGAACTCGTAACAATTTGTTTATACGTAGTATATACAACATGTATGTATTTATATAAAGTGATAGCATTGATAGTGTCAAAAAGCAACTTAATTTTATCGTTTCTTTGTCATATGATCTGATATCTATTGGGATAATGTTATTTACGCCTACAATACCTATTCCTTCACAAACAATATCATCTACTGAAAAGGATGATACGTCATTGTCGCCATTATCAACATCAGAAGCACATTCTACATCCAATACAACATGTAATGAGAGTCGACCTCGTGCTGTCTCTACGTCATATAATGCTACACTTATTACCAATGGGCCACAAAGTAGTCGTTTCCTTTCGGCTAGTCAACAATCTCGTTTTTCTCAAATGCCCGATCAAGATTGGTTTTATTCTCCTCCAGCATCTTCATCTTCTCGTCCATCGGTTCAACATTTAGCACCAACACCAACGCCAACAAAATTATCACATACAAAAACAAGTGTTGGTCGACGTGTTTCTTGTCCGGTACCACGTAATACACCTAAGAAAGAAGGCCGTTTTCGTCTTCCAAGTATTATAGCATCATCAATTCGTGATGCACTAATGACAAATACACATTCAACAAATCCAAATCCAAATGATATACCACAGATTCCTAAAACATTATCATTAGGCAGTGCTCGATTAAGTACTGTTTTTTTACCTGTAGCAAATCCAGTTGCAGCAGCTGCTCTTGTCGAAGATGATGAAGGAACAAGTGATGAACAAGCAACAAAATCTATTTCACCTTCTCTAGATTCACCTAAAAGTCATGCACGTTTTCCTCGTACACCTACTGAATGTTCTGCAAGTATTGCTCCATCTCATACTCATCATCATCCTAGTAAAGCAATTTTAAATGTTGGTGGTGTTAGACATGAAGGTAATATTTAGAAGAAAATATATATTTAAAAATAACATTGATATTTTTTTTCCAGTATTATGGCGTACACTGGCTCGACTACCAAGTACTCGTCTTGGTCGTTTAGCACGATTACGTAAATCAACAGGACCATCAACACGTCCTATGCCGCATGATGAACTAATACGTTTATGTGATGATTATGATTTATCGAGTGGAGAATTCTTTTTTGATCGTCATCCACGTTCATTTACATCCGTCATTAATTTCTATCGTACAGGAAAACTTCATTTAGTCGATGATATATGTGTTATATCATTTCATGATGATCTGGTTTATTGGGGTATTGATGA